CTCCACCCTGCCTGGGACCTGTGCTCTCTGCCCACTGAGATGAGGTAACCCCCGAGGCAGGGCTATCTGAAGATTGCTAGGTCTGGGTAGAGTTTCTGAGGGAGGGGGTCCACTGTAAACCCTTTCCCAGCAAAACTGTGCAAGTCATCACAGAGCGAGATGGCATGCCTGATCACAAGAAGAAAAAGAAAACCTCCAAAGAAAAATCCAGTCACCAGATGAACCCCAAGGTGAAACTTTGTTTGACCCTTCCTGGGCCAGGCCCCATGCCAGGCTCTTCCCATTCACTGCATCCTCTAGTACTCACGAACACCCTGCTGCCCATTTCACAGATGAGGAAGCAGGCCACCCAGATGGAGCGAGGGGCAGGGCAGGGTTTGGCAACACTAAGCTCAGCAAATTCTGCTCAGCCCTCACGCAGTTCTTAAGCCTCCACTCAGCCTCTGGGGAGCTAGGCCTGAGGACCACCAGCAGCACTTTTCCTGTCCTACCCTCCCCACTCACGACTCTGCGTACATTGTGCCACGCACTTGGGGCTAGCGGGAATCATCTCAAAGCCTGGCAGCTTACCCTAGCTTCACTGCCAAAGCCTGGGGCTGCTACCAGGAAGCCATCTGCCTCTTAGCCTGGGCACTTAGTGGGGTGAGCTGCAGGCCACCCGAGTCTCTCTGTCCCATGGGGCTGGCTTAGTCAGGTCACAGCCCTTCACCTTCAATTCCTTCCTCCAGAAATAGGGCCAGGGACGTGTCCTAATTGCATTTGCCAGCACAAAAGAAAATTCAAAGAGCAACTAACTCCTGGCTCCCTCTGAACTGCTACCTCCTCTCCCGCTGGCCTGAAATTTTCCTGCCCTGGTGACTTCAGGGTGCTCTAACTGTGCTCTCCCAACAAGTGCACAGGATTAACCAATAAAGGGCCCCCCATAAAGCTGAACCCTGAAGCACAGTCCCCCCCACCCAAGCTAGAGCTGGAACCAGGTCTGAAAAGTCACTGGTGTTCACTTCAAAATGTACACGTGGGCCCTGGACCCCTGATTTAATCCATAAAATACCTAGAGTGAAGATGCTGAGTTTGGACAATAAATTTATTTTTTCAAGTTCTTTTTTTTTTTTTTTTTTTTTACTTCAAAGAGAGACTTAATAACACATGCTTTTGAAATCAAGAAAGATCTGTTCTTTTTTCCTTTTTTTTTTTTTGAATTGGAGTCTTACTCCTTCGGCCAGGTTGAAGTGCAGTGGCATGCACATTCACGGCCACCCCAGCATCGACCTTCTGGGCTCCAGCGATCCTTCTGCCTCAGCCTTCTGCACAGCTGGAACTACGGACATGCACTACCACGCCCAGCTATTTTTTTATTTTATTGTAGAGACAAGGTCTCGCAGGTTGCCCAGGCTGGTCTCGAACCCACGGGCTCAGGCAATCCACTCGCCTCAGCCTCCCAAAGTTCTGGGATGACAGGCTAAGCCACTGAGCCCAGCCAAAGATCTGTTCTTAAAACTCTACCATCGGCCGGGCTCAGAGGCTCAGCCTGTCATTCCAGCACTTTGGGAAGCCAAGGCGAGTGGATTGCCTGAGCCCACAGGTTCAAGACCAGCCTGGGCAACTTGGTGAGATCTTGCCTCTACAATAATAAAATTTTTTTTAAAAAAACTCTACCATCATTATCACTGTTGTTCGCTGAATGCGTCTGCGGTACAGATGGCAGTGCTAAGTACTTCATGTGGAATATCTCAATTAACCCTCACACCAATAATCCCATGCTAAAGAAGAAGAAACTGAGGTTCCAAGAGGTTCCACAGCCTGCTATCTGACAGAAGGCACTCCAAAATGTAATTAGTAAGATACTAAGCCTCAAGCCTTGCTCTTTTTCAAACTAATGAAGGAGTAAAGTTCCTTGTCTTTCCTGGAGTTACTTTTTAAACACCAAGACTTTTCAGATTAACTTACAAGGTTTTGCATTGTTATAATTTTTTAAATTAACTTTCCAAAATAAAAGAGAGTAAAGGGGCCCTGTGTGTTTAACATTTAAAGGCATCATTTAAAAATATTTCCCAAGAATGTTTGCCCATGGTGGTCCTGGGTGTCTCCTGCTTAAATCATCCTAAAATCTAGCTGACTCAGGGTCTTGGTTTTTTTTGTCAGCCTGCAAGGAGTAGCAGCCCACCCCCAGGATCAGGGTATAGGTAGCTGAGCTGAGCTGGCCCCAGGGAGTTTGTTGGGGGGCATAGTTGAAGGTTTAAGAATAGACTCTGAGGGAACTGTGGGCTGGGGAAAGGGCATGTGGCCAGGTGTCCCAGAACCCAGTGTGGGACCATCATGCCTAGCTCAGGTCTCACAAGGCTGTGTGGGAAGACAGGAACTATGTGTCTGCCAGGGCCTGGCCCAGAGTTGGTAGGGGTGGCTAAGTTCTTTGTTCTGTTTCCTAGTAAATTACAACTCATTTCCAAGTTCTTCTTCTCTGGGCCTTAAATCACACCTTCCTCAATACCTTTCCCCAAGAAGTAGGCAGAGGATAAGGGAATCTGGACTAAGGGGAGGGGAGTGTTGAACTCCCCCCAACCAGGACACTCTGTTCTGCATGAACCCAAATGTACTCCTTCATCTTCTATCCCCGAACCCTGGATTCAGGGGGCTCTGGGCTCCTGCCTGTTTGAGCAAGAAAGGGCAAAGGAGAACAAGACAATGTAGTTGGGGCTGACAAGAAAACCCACTGCATGTGCCCTACCAGGGCCTCTCTGAGGGCCATCGTCACCCCATCAGCCTGTAGGCACCTGACACTGCACCACTGCAGCCCCTCCACCTGGGTGCTGTCTGAAACGCCACACCCCATGTTCCACACCTGAGCTGTGGAACAAAGAGCCCTCACGTGGCAGGGGAAATGAAGTGTGGTAGGGGCAAGGCAGGTAGCCTCACTGACTGTCCAGGGCCTCTGAAGATAAGAGTTCCAGAAGCAACCTGACCCCTGGCCATGCTTCCAGCCCATGAACGAGCGCAGGGAGGTCCTGCACAGCTCTGATCACATCACTGCCCTGTTCAAGAACCTTCATTGGCTCCCCATGGCCTAATGAAAGAAGGTAGGTCCCTGATACTTCCTCCCTGCCTGTAGGCCACCAGAATTCTTTGATTCCCTGACCCAAGCCTATGACTTCCCATTCTGCCCAAATCTCCCCAGCCCACTGGCCACTCCTCCAGGAAGCTCATCCTGGCTCCACTCACCCTAGCTCTTCCTTCTCCTCTACAGACCACTCTGGTCTAACCAGGACCCACCACAAGCCTCATACAGCTCTCTGCTGGCTTTTAGGTCTCTCTTGTCTATGCTGACTATCCCCTTCCCAGAGGCTTTCCTGGAGACACTGCCTCCAGTCACGTTAATCACCCTAGTAAGAGTAGCCAACAGGTGTTCTAATATCACAATGACCAAGGACCCTATGAGGCAGGTAATAGTATCCCCATGGTACAAATGAAGAAACAGAGGTAGAGAAAAGTTTAGCCCAGAAGTCACAACCCCACCCCACTCTGTTAACCTAAGATGAAAGGCTAGGGAGAATTTGTAGCATGAGAAGAGGGCAGGAAGGTGTAGGGTCAAAGGCCTATCAGAATCCAGAAGACCCAGGCTCAACTACCGTAGAGTCCTGGGTACCAGACAGGCTTCCAGGTCCCTTCCTCACTACCCAGTGATGCAAAGCTGTTGCCAAAAGAATGCAGAGCTAGTTCTGGGCTCACGTCCCACCAGGCCATCCCTCCCTCTTCAGTGCCCATCCCACTGACTGTCTTCCACTGACTGTCCAAAGGTGCCCATCCCACCAAGTCCACCCTCTCCCCCCCAGGAAGCCATCCCCTCACCCTTTCTTTCTTCCCTGGCATTTCCCTATGAGCAACATCCTTTCACATCTACTCTTCCCAATGGGTGTTTTCCTACTCAGTGGGATATTATTAGGAAGTCTTAAAAACAGATTTTCAAGGCCAGATGCAGTGGCACATTCCTAATCCCAGGACTTTGGGAGGCCGAGGCGGGAGGATTGCCTGAATCCAGGAGTTGGAGACCAGTCTGGGCAACATAGCAAGACCTCATCTCTGCAAAAAATCAGCTGGGTGTGTGGCGTATATCCATAATCCCAGCTACTCAGGAGGCTAAGGTGGGAGGATGGCTTGAGCCCAGGAGTTCCAGGCCGCAGTAAACCATGATCATGTCACTGCACTCCAGCCTCGGTGACAGAGTGAGACCCCAACTCAAAAAAAATGAAAAATTAAAATAAATAAATTCCATGATCAGATCAGGTTGGAAAACACTAAATGGTTTGTCTACAGATTTGTCAGATCCTTTAATTCTCTTAAATGCGCTGAATCTTCCACAGGGTAGTGGAGTGATTTGCCAGTTTTTACCCTTATTTGTCCCCTGAACCCTTGAGGCTACTCAGAACAGTCTTTGAGAAATGCTGCCCCCTCCTTCCTGGGCAGGACAACTTAGCACGAGGCACAGATCAACAGGGGCTCAGCCTTGCCCTCCTTTGAGGAGGTGTGTGGGATACCTTGGGTGCTCAAACTGAGAGCAAGCCAACTCCCACCTCACCAGCCTTCTCGGTAGCACCCAGGGTCAAGGAGCATTGGCCCTCCTTCGTGTCTGCCCTCCCCATCTTCCTTTGGGTTTGGTGGCTGCTGCCCCCTTGCCAGCATCTGGAGGAAACTCAACTGACCAGTACTCTCAGATACCTGCTCTAAGCCACCCAGAGCCTGGGGAGCAAAGGGCCTTGGGAGACCCCCAAAGCAAGCCAGATTTTTTTTTCAAGCAAATTGTTGATTATACCCCATCACTGGCATGTAACTTTTAATATTAAATTTAATATTAGTATTAAACTAAAATGTGTTCAGCTTCCACACTGAGAGGAAGCAATGCCACACCCAGCAGACCCTGTGACATCCCTTTCTGCCCTCCAGGAGAAGACTGGCCCCTCAGTTTACAAACAAGGAAACCGACTCCTTAGAGGGGAGCAGACACTTGCCTGTAGTGGCCCAGCCAGGAGCAGATGAGCAAGAAGCATCCAGGTCACCCCAATCCTACGTACACCAGGGGGCAGCCCGAGTGGGATAAGACCCCGACAGCGGCTCACGTAACCATCAGCGGTGGTAATGAGGCCTCACAAAGGCCAAGGTGAGGGACACTGCACACTCTGGAGTGACAGCCTGGCAACTGGGGAAACTGAGGGTTTTTATGTGAACATGTCACAGCTGGAGCTAGAAAACTGCAGTCAGCTGTTTCCACAATCTTCCAGCCCCGCCTGGGCTGGAGGAAGGGTGCTCACCCCAGATTGGTTCCCCACAGTGCCATGCTCAGCTGTGGGCAGAGATAAGGCGCCCTTCGTGCTGTCTGCATGTCACCCTGCCCTGAGACACAGTCACCCAAGACACCTCCATGTGGTCTTGGGAGCTACTCACAGTCAGAGGTCCAGGAAATCAGGCCTATGTTCCTGGCCTGAGACCCAAGCACCTGGGGCCCTCAACCAGCCCCACCTCCTAGAACATTGGCCCCTGCACCCACTACACACCTCTCTGCCCTGCCTCCTGGCCTCACCACACCCCCTTCATCTCCACAGGGGCAGCTCCCTGTACCTCCCCCAGTCCAGTCCCCAAGAGCCAAGATGGCTCTTCTTACCAGGTCCCACCTGAACTACACTCACCCTTGAGTCCCCAGTCCAAGTCCTTGCTATACTAAGCATGGTCCGTGGACAAACAGCACTGCACTGCCCAGGAGCATATTAGAAATGCAGAATCTCAGGCCTCACCCCAGACCTGCTGAATCAGACAAGGCAGATTTGCATTTTAACAAGCTGCCCCAGTGACCCATGTATGTTAGAGTTGGAGAAGCACTTTTATAGACCACTGCTTGAATCAAGTCACTACTCCCGTGGCCTATAACCTTGAATGGCTCCCCAGGGCCTAGTGAATCAAGACCAGACTCAGCAGCTTGGCAGTCAAGGCCTTTCCCAACCTGGCTTCAACCCACTTCTCCAGGCCTGGGCTCCCCCTCCACCTTGGAAATGTCATTCCCTACTCAGTCAGCCAAAGCTGCCCAGGACTTCAGAACCTTCCCAAAGCATCACTTCCTCCAGGAAGGTGGTCTGAACTACACCTCATTGCATCACACCTGGCATAGACCACTTTTATTTCCTGGAGAGTGAGGACCATGTCCCATATTCCCAGAGGCTCTGAGCATCAGGCTAAGGCATAGGAGATGCCAAAAGCTGACCGCAGCTAAGAAGGTCCAGCATCTAGTTGGCAGGAAGTCAACCCGCAGCTCTAGCCTGGCCACCTCAGGCTCAACCACAGTCTTCACTGCAACTCAGCAAATAGGGACTTGGACACTGTGGACAGGCCTCCTCCATGCTCCCCTGCCAGAGAAGGAAGCATCTCCTGACAACCATGAAGACCGGTGAGCTTCCAACAGCAATGTGCTTTCTCTCAGTTTGCTTTCTCTCAAAGTGCTTTCTCTCAATGTGTTTTGTCTCAGTTTCCCCAGATACAGAAGAGAAAGCCCACTGATCCTGCCTCCTCTCTTCCTAGGAGAATGGCACAGTCTGCTCAGTTAGATGAGCAGAGCCCCTAAATCTGAGGCTCAGAACTTGGAGGAAACAGACCCCATTCCTGTGTGGTCAACAAACCCATCCTCAGCCAGTCAGCCAGGTCCCTGGGAGGCCAGGTCACCTGCCCAGTGGCATCCTCATGCCCAAACAGGAATGCCTCACAGGGTAGAGCTGTCACACCCTCCTCCCCAGCCCAGTTCCTCATACTGGCATCCTATGGGAAGTTCTTACTCTTTTACACTGGGTCTGCAAGAAGGCACTTAAGCATGCAATCTCAAAATTCCCCTGGCCTTCACAACCTCCAGGGAGCAAAGAAAAAAAATTCTCTCTAATCCCATTTTACAGACAGACAAAAAAATGTTGAAATGACCAGTAGTGAAGTGGATTAAGCCATTTCCAATTCCCACTTCTCTGTTCCCACAATCCACCAAGCCCTACTCAGACCCTCACCCAGGTTTCCTGAAGCCAGACCTAAAGCTCCACTTCACATCATTCTAGGTGGGATCCAAAATAGGCCAGCCCCTACCTGACTTCTCTGTCCTCTCCCAGGGAGGCTAGGACTCAAAGAGACAGATGACAAGGACCATCCTAAACCCAGAGGGGTGACATTCTAATGGTGGCATCTCAAACAGAAAGCTGTTTTTGTACCTCCCCAGTACCCCCAAAATCACAGCATGCATGATGCCCGACTACTTGGCCTAGGTCTGGAGCCCCTCCTGAAACAAAAAGTAGGGTACGAAGATGAGAAATTCGGTCACCCACTCCAAGAGAGGACCACCACCTTAGCACGTGACTTCTTTCCCCCCACCCTAGCCTCCAAGGCCAGGTACCTCTAGGAGGCAGGAAAATCCCCATGTTTGCTCAGAAGCCCTCAGCTGGCACATATCTGAAAGGCATGAGAGAAGTGGCAGAGTAGACTGGTTCAAAGCATGGATTCTGGAGCCAGGTTACTTGGGTTCAACCCTCTGTCACTATTTACCTGTATGACTGTGCCTCGGTCATCCCATCTGTAAAATGGGAACAAGATCTACTTTCTACAGCCATTAAAAGGATTAAAGAAGTTAATATTTGCAAAGTCCTTAGAACAAGATCTACCTAGTGAGAACACCAGGGCCCTGCCCGCCTCGTGACCTCTATCTGATTTCTACCCTCCTTGTTCCTACCTATATCCCGGCTCAAGGGCTGACCTAGGCATGACAGCCTGATCCCAGATCAGCATCAGCCACTAGTTCCAGCGTCCATCTCATGGTGTTACCTCGGTCCATTCTTGTCCCTCTGTCCAGGGCCCAGCTCCCCTCCCTCCCAGACCTGAAGTCTGTTGGTTCTCGGACCTCCATTCTGAGAGTAGCAGTCACACGACTGGCTTCTCTGTACAAACAGGAGAGCTGTGGCTAGAAAGATGAGGGTCTAGAGCAAGACCCCCCAGGGCTGGGCAACCAGGTGTCACCCACGGGAGTAGGCCAAAAAAAATCCCTGGCAGCCCAGGCCACCCTCATCTCCTGAGTCACAGAAGCTCCTCCCACCCAGCACCTCCCACCCTTCCCCCGGCCCAGCCTGGACTTCCACCAAAGAAAGCAAAGGAAATCATTTACCCCCAGCCCACAGTGTCCACACACTCATATCCCACAGGCTCCCGGCTGTCCACCGGGGCACAGGCCTACCCCCTGAGCCACACATACCTCTCCACTTCCCTTTGTCCCATCCCACTGGCTTCCTGAGACTCTTGCAGCAATATGCAACTGATTTTGCGGGGAAAAAAATTTTTTTTTAAATCCTCAGTGTCACTTGAGGTTTCAAGACAGCTCCTGTGCTGCCTGCAATACCCATCTCTTTCTGCCCAGGCCAGCTCCGACCTGTCCATCCAGCTCAAGATTCCCTGGGCATCAGCTACATGCCAGGCACTGTGCTAGATGCCCTGGATACAGCAATGGTCCATTCTGTCAAGGTTCTGTCCTTAAAAAGCCAGACAACGTCAAGTAAAGACAATTGTAACAGATGGTTATGGACTGTGACATATATAATAAAGTCAGGTGCTATGAGAATTATGGGGGAACCAGGGTCCTCTACTAAGACTGGGAAGTCATGTGAGGAAGGTACAATCAAGACCTGAAAAATAAGAAGGAGCAGAGCCAGTGCAGTAAAGAGCACTAGGAAAACACTCCTGGCAGAAAAGATAGCGTAAGCAAAGGCCCTGGCCAGGAAAACACTTAGGGTGTTTGAGGGGCAGAAACAATTCAGTGTCTGTCAGAAAGAATGCAAAGGGGACAGCAGTCAAGGTATGACTTGGGGAGCTCAGCAGCAGCCAGATCGTGGGTGGTCTGGAGGTCAGGAAAGCTTTAAGCTTTTATTAAAGTGCAAGAGGGAGCTTTCACAGATTTCAGAGAAGTAAAGTGATCTAATCAAAATTGTCTATGTTGTTCTTACTGCTCTGCAGAAGTGGACCAGAGGCAGGCAAGTGCAGACATGGGGAGAGGGTGAGCTGCTACTACAGCACAGGCAAGACAAGGTGGCTTGGCATGGGACAGGTAGCCTGGGGCGGTAACAGTGGAGTCAGAGCAATAGGCCTAAGATAAGTTCTGTGAAAAGAACCAAAATGAGTTGCTCTGAAGGAGTTGAAGTTGCCTGGTTTCCTATCTTAAAAGGTGAGTGGTCAGCCGGGCTTGGTGGCTCAGCCTGTAATCCTGAGCCTTTGGGAGGCTGAGGTGAGTGGATGGCCTGAGCCCGCGGATTCGAGACCCGCTTGGGTAACTTGGCGAGACCTCATTTCTACAATAAATCAAAAAATTAGCCGGGCGTGGTAGCGTGCGCCTGTAGTTCCAGTTACTTGGAAGGCTGAGGCGGAAGGATCGCCGGAG